CTGTCCATTGATCCACTGGAGGAGAATTTCTTTTCCTCCAGCCGCACCTGTACACAACTCACGGTAACAAATTAATAACCTATCAGAACGAGAAGCTGGTTTGAACTGGTAGTGTCAAGGCATATGGGCATCTCTTTACGAGGTCAAGAGAAGGATGTGGGTATTTATATAGGGATGGAGAGACTCTGCTGAAGCATGTCAGGGGCAGTTCACCACCTCCTAAATGGCCCGAATTGTCTATCATAACCCAGACCCACATTTTCATGCATCTTCACACACCAAAGGACCCTCCGAATCATTGTTTCCAAGCGGAGATTGATATCTCCTAGTTCCAGGATTTTCTCTTTCCCCATGTACCCGAGCCTGCGAGCCGCAGCACAGTTGGAAGACACAGGCAAAGAACCAGCATGTGAGTTTGTCTGATGGATGGCAGCAGAAAAGAGTAACGATGCCAGTGTGAGTTCATGTGAAGCATAAGGTTATGTCTCAGCTTACATTCCCACCACACACGAAAGTGTGGTATGCAAGAAATGCAGAAGCCGAGTGGGCAGTAACCGCAAGGCCAAGAAGAGGAGCAAGAGGGCATCACCGTGACCACACAGTGATTGGCAGGACTGGAATGTGGCCTTGCTATAAAACTTAGAGCTCGAAATTAAACTGCATCACTTGGAGCATCCATACTGTGTATGCTGTGTTTCCTTGACCTGCAGACAGCAGGGTGTCTGCGTGATACTTCGGGTAACCTTAAAGCTGATACAAGAATCAACACGAAAGCACGTGTAAAAAGTCACAATATTTTGGCAAGATCTGGAATCAGCACAAAAAAATCTGTGCGGACCTTCACCGGGAACCTTACAATCTGATTCTCTCTCAACTTCAAAGCACTCTTTTATGTGCCACTAGTTTATTTTGTTTAAAATGCAATGATATAATGTATCACCAGCTTAAATAGCAGAATAACAAGCGGTAGAGCAATGTAATATTATTCATTAATTGCATTCCTGAAGTTCTAAAAGCCTGTTCAGTCCATGATGAAAGCTCCGTAATGGATTAAATAAGGCAGAGTGCTTCCAAGACAGGCTGTTTGGTAGATGTGAGTTCAAAACAGGATAGCATGTTTGTCAGGAAAAATGTTTTAATATTATCAAGAAAACAAGGAGTAAAATATTTTATATTCTCAGATTAACTCGCATTCCAAAATTAGACACACCACAAACAGATTGTCCTGTGTTTTAAAATATTTTCCATCTGTATTCTAGTAAATAGCCTCTATTTCGATGTCTATCCCTGTACACTAAATCGACAATTACATTTGTATCGAATCCAAAGGTTAAGTCACGGAGCCCAGCAGTGGGAATAAACTGGATGGGTTATCAGAGGAATTTTTCACCCTATGCTACGAATCTGTCCATAGAACTTTGAGTGCCCCTATACGGGATTGATTAATTCGTTTGTTCAAGGCGGATTTCCAAGTAACATGGGCCTTTAGTGATGCTGGCTTTCCGGGTACAAGCTTACCCAATTCTACCAGCATTTGAAAGCTGATACAGGGGATGGCAATGAAATTCTGGGAACTGGGTACTAGGAAACACTTAAGCAAGTTGAAGGAAGTGACAGAGGAAGACGTAGGGACCGAAATTTCCTTGTGCAGTTGCACATGCAACGGAACCTTCTAGCCTTAAGAAAGTTACGTACGATGAGCTCTGCCCGCCCTGTACAGAACATGGCACCTAAACCACACACAGCAGGCTCAGCACACGTTCAGGAGGTGATATTCCCGAGCTGGCAAACATGACAAAACGTGATTTCCAAGACTGCAAACGGTGCACTTTTGAAATGTCTGCGGCTACCTTAAAATCCTAAGCACCGCGTGCAAAAAGGAAGGTTAAAATAATGTACCTGAAAGGAAAACTGGTCACCATTCTCAGTAGCGGGATCTTCTGCAGAGATGAGATGACCTGGGATTCCAAAACCCGGGAACAGACAAAACCCATGCCATGTCCCCACCAGCACCTCCTCACACACAGCACTGCCAAGACTCTCCTCACACCCTTCATAGCTTGCATCCTGTTACCTCGTTAGGAGCTAATGAAAACACCATCAGCTCCTCCCATTATGGCCCTTGCCCCAAGTACCTCACTCAGCTGTTAATGAAGAACCTCACAAGCACCTGCAAACACAGAGGCAGCACCTCGAGGGGCTCCCACTACTACCAGAATAACATCTCTTGGGCCAAACTGACCCGGGAAGATGAAACTCCCATTGCATGAAACCACAGCTGGGCACTGAACAGGGAAAGGTGCAAACCATCTCTCCTCTGA